TACGTTTTAACTACAGGTTTCGATTAGAAAAGTGATTCTAAACAAAAAATGTGCTATACATTTTTTTTATAAAATGATATTTTTCAAGTTATTCGCGATTGAAAGTAACAACTTTTAGACGAAAAAATCCACGTTTTTAATCGATTTTTCGCGAATAACTCGAAAACGGTGCATTTTATCAAAAAAATTGTAGAGAACAAATTTGTAGCTTTTAAAAAGACAAATACAATTACAAATACAATATCAATGTTCAGCAGTTTTCTTCAAATGCCAAATTTAAAAGATTCAAAGTCAAATATCGGGAAAATGATGCATTTTTGGAAGAAAACTCACAAAACCTTTTTTAAAGACCATAAATAGACCTATCATAAAAAAAATAAGGTCAATACCTCATTTTTTACGAAAAAATCGAGGAAAACAACACCCTAACCACCCCCATAATTAAAATCGATCTTCACCCTTCTGCAATTTCCTTTGTAGATGTATTGTTAATACGTCCAAAAAGTTAGACCCATTAAAAATGCTTAGTTTTAGAAAAAGTACAGCTTAAAGCGAGAAACGATTTACAATTTCATATTTTTTACCCTTCTTTTTTTAAATATGCCCGAAAATACTGAATATATGAAAAAAAATAAAAATTACCAAATTGTAGCTTTTTTAATGACTAAAATTATACTTTATTTAGATTTGTTGTACAATGAATATTTGGCGAGATATAGCCGTTTAAAGCATCGATTTACGATCAAGCACCATCTTTTTCGAGCCCTTTAAACTCACCCCATTTAAAAACCAAGGGTTCCAAAAAGATTTAATTTACAGATCCTTGTAGCTAATAAAAACCTCTACAAATCGTTTTGGAAGAAACACTCTATCGTTAAAAATTAAAGGAAATACGTTAAAAAAACCAGTTAATTTTTTTCCGGAAAATTCCATTATTATAGTACAGTACATTTCGGAGCATAATAATCTACAAAACCGGTATATTAGCTAGTGGGGCGTTATACATTCGAAATTTTAAGCGTTCTTATTTTGAAATCCCATACAACAGAATAAAACATCTGCTCATATGTCTATGGCTTGGCAATGAAAATATCAGAGCAACAGATTGGGGCTGGTATTCCAAAGATGGTTTGTTATTACCCGTACGCATGAACAAACAACCTGCACCCGATAAATTTTTGAAAATTATTTTTTGCCAATGCAAAAAAAGATGCGGCGTTTCATATGGGCGCAGAAAAGTTGGTTTATACTGTAACTCTACTTGTGCTGGGTGCTCAGGTGAAGGGTGCAATAACAGTCCACCAATAATTGAAGAAGATGAGGATGACATAGATCACGATGAAGATGTAATTGATGACGAATAAAATTAATATTATAATTGTTTTACCTATAAATGTAAATATTTTCAACTATTTATGTAAATGTATAAGAATATATGGTGCCTTTTTATGTTGATAATTTTTTTTGTATTTAATTCTACTTTTTTCAATTTATATCTTATAAATTAGTTTATAAAAACTGCAATGTTGTAAAGGGTGATTTTCAAAAGTTGAAAAGTTGCAAAATTTTGGAAAAAATTGTTTTCACCTATAGCACTCATAACAATTGAATTTTAAGGGTTGAAAATATATGAATTTGTATTTTAAAGTATAAAAAATTCACTATTTAACTAATCCAAACCAAATTTCACTCATCTTAAGATTTGTAATATTATTTTACAATTTTTTAAAATTAAGGGTAGTTTTCACCCCTAAGAACAATCAGGGTTCATCGGCATGACATAAACTATAAAGCAGAGGGTGAATTGAGCTTAATTCCAAATTTTTATGCAAATCGTTCCAAGGTGAAATCATTTTCTTCGCATTACTAATTTTTTATATTAATCTCTAATAAGGGTCGCTTTTTAAGGGTTGAAATATGATGGAACTTTATTCAAAAGCACGAAACTATCATTATTTAATTAATTCAAACCAAATTTTACCCATATTCAGGTTTAATATGTTATTTTATAATTTTTGACAATTAGGGGTAGTTCTCAACCCTAAGAACAATCAGGGTTTGTCGACATGATATAAACTATAAAGCAGCGGGTGAATTGAGCTTAAATCCAAATCGATCCAAGGCGAAATCATTTTTTTAGAATTAGTAATTTTTTACATTAATCTCTAACAAGGGTTGCTTTTTAAGGGTTGAAATATGACGGAACTCTATTCAAAAGTATAAAATAATCATTATTTAACTAATTCAAACCAAATCTTACCCATATTCAGGTTTAGTATGTTATTTTATAATTTTTGACAATTAGGGGTAGTTTTCACCCCTAAAACCCTTCAGCGCACTTCGGTTCGATATAGATTTTGATCCTCGGTCTATTACCTACCTTCTGCTAAAATTTCAACTGGATACATGCAGGACGAAAAAATTGCGAGGTTTTAACTTTTTTCGAGCTTCATTTCCTGAACTATTATCGCCTCCTTAGACAAACCCGTCTTACGCAAACAACTTTGTTGCGAGACAGATAGTTGAACGATCTTTTATACAATGTCTAAAACCAGGTATGGATTTATTTTTGTCCAAGTTTTATATTGGTCCACTATTTCAAATGCAGTTCAAACATACATGTATTAAATTGTATGTTCCGTTTTAATTTGGTTCAATCTGTATATAATAAATGTTGCAATTATGTTTAGAAGATTTACTTTAGAAAAAAATCTGTAGATAAAAAATTTTGTGAACACCACTTGTTATTGATTTCCCAATTTTTAATTCACGTGTCGAACATTTTACATTTTTATCCCAAGGAAAAAAGTGCATACTTATCGTTTCCGAACGATAATTAGTGCATTGTGCTACAGAACAGTACTGCATTTACTTTTTAACATAATGATACCTTATTATGCCTTATCTAATAGTATTTACAATAATTATAACAATTTAACTAGCTGCCGAATTTTTTGTTTCCCTACGTTCTCTAATTCCAATTTTTGCCGCACCATGTCATCTTTTTCGTTTGGACATCGCCAATAGGAGCTGCATTTTATGCTGCATATTTAAATTTAGCTGCCAGCTATTACTGGGAGGTTGCCGTTGATTTCCAAGGACGTTACCGAAAAAAAATTGGATTTATATATTGCTACTGTTTATGCGATGCAGTAAATGTGAATTATATACATGGGGATAAAATAAAGTTATGTTATGTTATGTGGAAACAATATTACTTTAAGTCTAAAAATTAGATTAGTGAGATGGATACACTTCTCAAGAAACTGGAAGTCCTGGGTGTATCAGAGAATCCTGCGAATAAGTTGGGTGGATAGAGTTCGCAACGAAGTTGTTTTGCATCGGATGGGAAAAGTTACGGAAGTCGTCAAAACAGTTAAAAATCGCAAACTTGAATATTTTGGCCATGTTATGCGCCACCCAGAGAGATATAATATACTCCATTTAATAATACAAGGCAAGGTAGACGGAAGAAGGGGGCCAGGTCGAAGAAGAACGTCATGGCTTAGAAACCTGAGAGATTGGTTTAACAGATCCTCTGCATCTCTTTTCCGAGCTGCCGTCAACAAAATTACTATAGACAATTTGATAGCCAACGCTCGATAATCGAGCACGGCACATTAAGAAGAAGGATAAAATAAACCCGAGATTTGCTTTTGTCTTCAAATTGATCCGTAAGGATGGTTAGATAAATTTGTATTGATTTAATAAATTAAATAGGAAGATATATCAAATTATAGATAAGGTAAACCGTATCGAAAGTTTGTTGTATATAAAATAGCAAAATAAATAGAACAGGTGATTTGGTTTAGTTTGAATTTCCGTTATTATTGACATAGTTGTAGACCAAAAAATCATTGCAAGCAAATATAAAATGGTATATTTATTTATTTATTTGGGTATTTATATGGGTATAGAACTTAGCAATGAATGTATATATACACTCCAGTATGCTGATGACCAGGTATTACTAGCGACCGACAGGGAAGACATGCAGTACATGCTTAGAAAACTGATAGAAGAATATAACGACTGGGGAATGAATGTCAATACAACAAAAAACAAATATCTTTGTATTGGAAACGAGTCAGATAACATAAACCTCGAAAACGGACAACATATTTCCTGCTGTCAGAGCTATGACTACTTGGGTGTTGCCTTTGACAATACAGGAACTGATACACGGAAAATAGAAAAACGAATCACTCAAGCAAAGAAAGTCTTAGGATATCTCAATGGTATACCGTGGAGTAAAGAGATAACGAAAGGAAGAAAATTTGATATATATGAGACCATGATTAAAACTACTCTTCTTTATGGCGCTGAAACATGGAGAATTAGTGAAAAGAACAAAAAGCGAATAGAAGCAGTAGAGATGGATGCAATGAGAAGATCTTTAGGTATTTCCAGAAGAGACCGAATCAGAAATGATGTAATAAAACAACGTATGGGAATAGAAAGAAATATAACTCAAGATATAGAGAAGAAACAATTAAGGTGGTATGGGCATGTTCAACGGATGCCAGCAACAAGACTGCCAAAAAAGTAGTAGAATGGCAACCGATAGGTCGACGGAAAAGAGGAAGACCCAGATCAGAATGGCAACACGGCGTAAACAAGTCCATGAGCGAAAGAAATTTAACAACAAACGACTGCGAAGATAGGAAGAGATGTGTTTAGGTATCGGACAACGTCGAAAGACGTTCTAAACCGATTTATATATGTATATATATATATATATATATATATACATATATATATATATATATATATATATATATATATAATATATATATATATATATATATATATATATATATATATATATAATTGCATTTATCAGTAATATAATATATTGGAAATTAAACGTGTTTTTATGCAGAATGTTTTATATAACCACTAAGTTAATAATAAACTATATTTTAAATGGTCTAAATTACGCCATATTAATAAAGCAAATTAATGTTACAATAAACAATAACATTTGGTTTCACTTTTAGGTTGTGTATTTGGAAATATTTTATCACTCTCAACAACTGGAGCCATCTGCTCAAGTCGGTTTGGTTGGCCAGTAGCCTTCTATCTCTTTGCAGCTTTAGAACTAATATGGATAGTTACGTGGATTATGTGTGGAGCAAATAGACCTAGTTTGCATAAAAAAATTACTGAGGTAGAAAGAGAATACATAGAAAGTAGTTTAGGCCAGAAGGAACGAAAGGCAAGTTAATTTTATCTTTAGACACACAAATACATAATACATATTATGTTGAATGCCTTAATTGGTTCAGTACTTAAAATTGAACTAAAAAACTAAAAAAAGTAGGCTGGGTCAAATTCAAATCGATGATTTTCTATTTTTATTCATTTAAATTTGAGAAAGTGAAACTTTTTAACTATCGATAAATTAAGCTAATTGATATCGTTCGTAAAATTTGTATATCAAATTTGTAAAATCATGATAATAGTAGTTAATTTTATATTTTTGATAACATAAAAAGCGGTATAATGTTCTAATATCCTTTTTATCGTACATGGTCGTTAAAGGCGCGTTCTCACGATTCAAGTTTTGTAGATCAACTTCAACAAAAGTTGAACAAAAAGGGTAGTGAGAACCTCTGTTGCAATAAAAGTTGATCAATTTTTTAGTTAAAAAATTTTATTAAAAATCCTTTGTAAAAGGTATATATTAAGAACCCAAACGGGCTAAGTTAAACAGACAAAACGTTTTCGGAATCCATATTCCATCATCAGTGTCTAAGAGTACATGAATGTAGCCACTAAATATATGGGTAAAAACCCGTTAACAAATAATTGATTACATTTAGTTTACAAAATTTCTTATAATCATTTAAGATGTTAAAGTTAAGGTTGGATTAGGTAACATGGCGACATATATGACTCCACGTTGAAGTTGCTAGTCTTGAGACGATGTGTCTATGAAGACTGTATGGGCTCCACCTTTCCGATACATTTTTTTTCAAAAATTCTTTCTAAAAATACTATAGTTGTTCATTTGGGACTATATATATATATATATATATATATATATATATATATATATATATATATATATATCCAAGTATGTAGTATGATGCAAATCTATGGAATTAATTCATTATTTCAGAAACAGTCAGCTTTCAAGACGATTAACAAATACAATTTTAATTTTTGAATAACTGTCAATTACTATTTATATGTGTTGGACATTACGTTATCAGTGTTGGTAATGACGTAATCAACAATTTTTTTTTTAATAAAAACCGTTACTTAACCAAAATCGTCACAAGGAGAATGGTTTAAAGTAACTATCCTATTTTCTTGATTTCTCTCTCTCTCTCTCTCTTTCTCGATATTTACCCAAATTCTCCTCATTTCGTACCCGTCTCTTCGGTCCCCTCGATTTTGGCATATTTTCTCGGTTGCAGAGGCTAGACTGTTTCTGATGTTAACGAATATTTTTGTAAAACTCTCAAGAACATATTGCAGTTTCACAAAGTTCTGTTCAATTTTCTGCAGTTGATTAAATAATGTGTCAACATGTGACATTATTTTATAAAAGAAATTTAACCAGTCCTAGAATGTAGAATCATTAAACCATTGGACGAAATCGGCGGTTTGAACTGTGGTATTCGTATTATACAGTATGATGCAACAGTATGGAATAAATTCATTATTTCAGAAATGGCTTCATGCTGGTAGTTAAGTGTTCTAGACATAAAATGTTTAAACGTAGTAGTATAAACTTTCGGGTGAATTTGTATCTCTTAACGGAATTCGTGAATTAATTGAGTCCGTCACTGGTTTATTATCGGAAGGCATAAGACGCAAAATTAAATTTCGTTAATTGTGATTATTAGATTATTTACATTCGTAAAAGTAAAAATCATTCAAATTTTAGGTACACAATACTCCATGGAAAAAAATTTTGACTTCGTCTCCATTTTGGGCTGTGACTTTAGCATTTGTAGGAGCCAATTGGGGTAGTTCAATATTATTAACCCAAACCCCAACGTATTTACACAATGTACTTAATTATGAAATTAAATCTGTAAGTATTTTTAAGGTTTTAAGTCCTAATAATGTTAATGTCCTACTGTCATTAGATATGATAAATGCGCTTCGATCAAAACAGTTACTATTGTTTTTTAAATGACTGATTTGATAGCTTTAATATGATATATAGATAATTAAATTAAAAAGAAATACGAATTTTTTCCTTTGAATATTCGGATACCGCACAACTTCTTCTTCTTCTTTGGGTGCCGTGTCCGTATTCAGACGTTGGCCGTCATCATGTTTACAATTTCCTGAAACCTTTCTCTGTCGGCTGCTGCGCGAAATAATTTTTCTACTGTGAAACCACACCATTGTCTAATATTACGGAGCCATGAAAGTTTCTTTCGACAAATCCATCTCTTTCATTCCACTCTTCCTTGTATTATAAGGCGAAGTAAATGGTATTTAGGTCCTCTAATTATATGGCCGAAGTATTCTGTTTTTCTCCTCTTTATGGTGTTTATGAGCAGACGTTCTGAATTGATCATTTGAAGAACATCTTCATTGGAAGTGTGCGAAACCCACGATATCTTTAGGATTCGTCTATAGCACCACAATTCGAATACTTCTAACTTGTTTAGCATTGTGGTTTTTAACGTCCATGTCTCACAACCATACAATAGGATCGACCACACATAACATTTTAGGACCTTCTTACGAATATTCATTGACAGGTTTCTGTTGCATAAAACTGGTTTTCAGGTCATAAAAGCCTTACGTGATATTTCGATCCTGGATATTATCTCTTCATCAGAGTCACAATTTACATTTAACCAGCTGCCAAGGTATTTGAAATGATTTACCCTTTCTATAGCTTCTCCATTAAGAGAAAGCAGACCTTGATCTATATGGATCTTTCCAACTGCCATCCACTTTGTCTTTGAAATGTTGATTTTTAGGCCTCTCCGATAACTTGCTTCACTGACTAGATTTAGTAATGTTTGGAGATCTTGTAAACTTTCTGCAAGAATGGCTGTATCGTCAGCGTATCTAATATTGTTGATTACTTCTCCACCTAGTCTTACTCCCTCTTGTCTGTCATCCAAAGCCTCCCTAAAGATTTCTTCAGAGTACAGATAAAAAAGAGTGGGTGACAAAACACAACGCTGCCGTACTCCACGTTTGATGGGTATTTTTTCAGTGGGACTGTCTCCAATTTGGATAGAGGCTACTTGATTGTAATATAAGTATTTCAGCAGTCTTATAACATAGTGGTCAAGTCCTGCTGCCCGTAGGCAGTCGAAAAGTGTATTGTGTTGGACTCTGTCGAACGCCTTCTCGAAGTCGATGAAACAAACATAAACATTCTTTCGGAATTCACAATTTTTTGTAATAGAACGCGCGTACAGAATACTGCCTCTCTAGTTCCTAGACCATTTCTAAATCCAAATTACTTATCACCCATCTTACTTTCGCATAGAAGGAATACTCGGTTTTGTATAATTCGTAAGAGTATCTTCAGTGTGTGACTCATCAAACTGATTAGTCTAAAATCGCTGCATTTGGTGGGCCTGCTTTTCTTTGGTAATGTTATAAACAGTGACTCTAACCAATCATCTGGTATTTTTTCTTCGTTGTAAATTTTGTTGAAGAAAGTGGTTAAGCAGGCAATGCTTTCCTCATTCAAAAGTTTAAGTAGTTCGGCAGGGATTTGATCTGGTCCAGGTGCTTTATTGTTTTTGGCTTGCTGTATTGCCTTTTCGACTTCCGAATTCAGTATATTGGGACCTCTGTCCAACTGCTTGTCACAGGCAGTATTTGGAGCATTTTCTCTAGAAGCATCGTCAAAAAGGTCAGTGATGTATCTCTCCCATTCTTTGCACTGTTGCTCGTGATCACAAATTTTTCCGTCCGCGCTTTTAAGTATGTGAGCATTTTTCTGTTTTCTAATTCCTGCAGTATATTTAAGTTTCTTATGCAGGTTGAAGCTGTCATGCTTTTTTTGGAGGTCTTCTATATCTTTACATAAATTCTCAAGCCAAGATTCCTTGGCTTGCTTAATTTTTCTTTTTATGCGTTTATTAATTTCACGATATTCGATAATATTTCTATTTTTGTGACCGCACAACTAACCAATGGTTTATAGGATATTATGTTTTGAAAAGCATTTGTTACATTCTTTTAGGGACGGAATCATACATGGATAGAGTAGTAGTCAGTCCAACGGATTCTGGAGGGCACAAAATTCAGACCCCAAAATTGTAACTAAAAACTTTAAAATCCAGTCACATTTTTTATCATGTCGAAGAGGACTATATAAATGGATGTATTGGGTTCTTCATTAATAAAAAACGTATTGAGAATATCATATAAGTAAAAACAGTCTTCACAAGAGTTATACTTGTAAAATAATAAATAAACACCCGTTACTCCATAAAGATTATTCAAGACTATCCACCAATATCGGGTCACACCGAACAAGAAATAGAAGAATGTTACGATACCTTCTACACAGCTGTTACAGAACACGAAGATTTCACGATATGTGGCGATTTTAATGTCAAAATAGGAGTAAAAACCGATGAAGCTGAAAATATTTTCAATCTTTCAACTCACCATGGTCTCTATAGGTTTCAGGTTCTACCATTTGGTCTTTTTAAATGTTCATTATGTACAAAAGAGGCATAATATTTAGTACATATTGTTTCAGCAGAAGTAAGTAAAACTGATTCAGAGATGTCAATTATTAAAGATTGGACTAAACCAGGAAATATGGAAATTAGAAGTTTTCTTGGGCTCTGTTCTTATTATCGAGAATGTATTAAAGATTTTGGCCGCATTTTTTTTTGGCCTTTTGGACTTTGGCCCGATACCGGATTGTCAAAATGCCTTCAGAGATTAAAAAAAAACGATTTACAACAGCGCTTACTCTAACCTATCCACGAGAAGATGGAAAATTTCTGTTGGATTGTGACGTATCTGAGCATGGTATTGGCACTGTATTATCAGAGGCGAAGAAAAAGTTAATGCATATTTTATTAAAACAGTAGGAAAAGCTGAACAGAATTATTACGTTACCAGAAAAGAGCTCCTACCTATTATAGAACCCCTGAATTTTCATACTTCCCTTTATAAAAGAAATTTTATAATTAAAACTGACCATAGCGCTTTGCAGTGGCTAATGAATTTTAAAAAGCCAGAAGGACAAGTTGCTCGGTAGATAGAGAGACACTCCAATAGTATAACTTCGACGTTGTACATCGAAAAGGGCGTCTCCATAACAACGCCGATAATATAGGCGACCTTGTTTAGAACGACAACGCCAGTACTGTAAAAGACTTAAAGATAAAGAGAACATAACCGAAGAAGTGTCCATATAACCACAGTTATATAGGAAAAAGATAATGATCAGACTTCCCTGGAAAATCTTAAAAAGAGTTAAAAGAAAAATAATTACTTAAGAGTTATACGAGAATGGCTTAAAAATGGAGTAAGGCCTATTTGACATGAAATACCCAAATACAGTGGAACTATAAATGTGTACTGAGCTCAATGGGAATCACTGTATTGAATATAGAACCAATGGTCTATTATATATCGGATGTGGGAGAGTCCTGATGGAGTACGTATAGTTACACAATTCGTACTGCCAAAATCACACGTTAAAAGTGTGTTACAAGAACTTCATTTTGGAAAAGCCAAAACCTCTACGAAGAATATCTTGAAACCGGTGAAAGTGACATTGCGGACCAACTTCTCCTGAGCCTTGATGTAGCAAGAAGGAAGAAATGGACAAATGAAGTCAAATCGTTAGATTTCAAAAAGTCTAGCCGTAAAGCGTGGTAGCTCCTAAGAAAACTCAGAAGTGACAAACTGGGAACACGACGTATCCACGATTTCAACCCTAATAAAATTGCATCACATATAGTTGCCACCTCCAGAGGAGCATGTGATAAAAAGTTTACCACTACTATAAAAAGGGAGCTTAAACATCTAAAAGCTGCCTGTCCATCAGATACAGAGTACTCCGCACCGTTCACTCCAGAAGAAGTCTCAAACGCCATCAAAGACATTAAACCTAACAAAGCTCCTGGTACAGACGGTATACCTCCCGAATTTCTGATCCATTGTGGGAAATCTGCAAAAACCTGGTCGTCTAAATTCTATACAGATATACTCAAAACAGGTAACCTATCAAACCTCTTTAAACAAACAAAAATCATAGCCATCCTGAAACCTGGAAAACCAACAGACAACCCAGCGAGTTACCGCCCCATCGCTTTACTCAGTTCAGCTTACAAGCTCCTCGAAAGACTGGTCCTGAACAGAATCGGCCCAAAGCTACTTCAAAAAATACCAATTGAACAAGCAGGATTCAGGCCTCAACGAAGCACCACTGACCAAGTGCTCTCTATAACTACCTACATAGAGGCAGGTTACCAAAGAAAACTGAAGACGTCTGTAGCATTCATCGATTTATCGGCTGCCTATGACACGGTTTGGAAAGATGGCCTCATCTATAAGCTCCTTAAAATAATCCCCTGCAAAGCAACCGCCCGACTCATAAATACTATGCTGAGCAGTAGAAACATCCGTGTAACCATGGGAACTACAGTGAGCAAACAGAGAACGCTTAATAATGGCCTCCCCCAGGGCTCCGTACTTGCACCGCTGCTATTTAGTATGTATATAGCTGATATGCCCCCTACCAGATCTAAAAAATTTGGATATGCAGACGACTGGGCACTTGCAACTCAAAGCTCCTTAATACAAAACTCCGAGGCAATCCTAACGGAAGATCTGGAACGCCTGGTTAAGTACTTTAAACAATAGAGACTTAAACCTAACCCCAAAAAAACCGAGGTTAGCTGTTTTCACCTGAACAACAAAATGGCCCACACAAAACTTAAAGTATACATTGATAACCAACTGCTCACGCACAACTATAATCCCAAGTACCTCGGCGTCACCCTGGACAGAACACTCTCCTTTAAGAAACATCTTGAGAACACCGCAGCAAAGCTGAGAACCCGTAACAACATCATACAGAAG